CCTCCGGGCAGCTGCCTCCTGCGGCTCTGACTGGGCCGCCAGCCCAGCCCTGAGCCACTGGGCTGTGGGCTTTCCTGCGGGAGCTGAAGGGACCCAGAGTGCGATGGCCGGCGCCTTGAGTCACCCAGCACCCCGAGGAGGGGCCCCCCACAGGGAGCACGTCCTGAGGTGGGGACATGTTCCACCCCGGGTCTGAGCCCCCCGAGCCAGCCCCTCGCAGGCTTCCGGATGGTCTCCCACGGAATCTGGCTTCAGCCAGTGTTTTGATTGCACTTGATTAAGGCTCAGCCTGCCCTACGCCTCGGCGTGACTACGAAGAATGAGCAGCAGTCTGTGTGGGTAACAAAGCCCTTTGCAGCGCAAACACCCTGCACCCAACTCGGTCTCTCACAGGAGCCATCCTGGCCTGTCCGCGAGGGGACCCCGCAGGTGAGGGGAGCAGGGTGTGGGCAGACGGAGGCTGGGGCTGGGGCGGCAGGCAACCTGATTTCAAAAGAGAAGCTGGGAATATGGAGTTTTGAAAATGTGGGATCTAATTGGTGTCTAATTAAACATTTTTACATGTGGCACAGGCCAAACAAAACAAGACAAAACAGACCATCTGTTTGTCTAAAGCAGAGGCATCCTGAAATGACAGGAAGGGAAGGGAGAGAACAGGAGGGGCTGGAGGGAAGGAAGGGGGTGCAGCAGCATGGGGCTCAGCGAGCCCTCCAAACGCGGGGCTCCCCACCACCCAGCCCCCTTTCGCCTTCCCTCCGTCACTGAGCCCACAGTTGGTTCCATTTCACAGATGCACAAACCAAGGCAACAAGAGATGACATGGCCCGCTGACCGCCTTCCCCAGCAGCGGAGGTCCTCCTGCCCCCCCCCCCGAACCGAGGAGGGCCACACCCAGGGGGGCAGGGCTGTTCTGGGTAGACTGAGGCCCCTTCCCACAATCCCCAAGGAGAGCCCATCTCACAGGGGAGAACGCTGAGGCTCCAGCCCTCGGCCCTGCGTGCAGCCACCGGAGGGTGCAGATTTGAGAGCGGAGCCGGCAGGAGTGTGGGAAGAGCCTGGCCCAGGGCCTCCCAGCTGAGCCCTCTGAGCAGCAGGTGGGGGTGGAGGGCCAGCCCGTTTCCTCCTCCGGGAGCTGGTGACGGGCTGCCGGCTGCCGGGCTCTAACCAGGCACCCACCAGGGTCAGCTCTCCCTGAGTGAGACAGCCAGCAGGCGCTGGGCATCCAGACACAGCCCCTCCCAGCACCCTCCCCCCCACCCCCCCCCATCAACCTCTGAGGCTGGGAACCACGGAAGCACGGAGCCATGCCCTCGGAAATCCTCCATCCACCAAATAAACTTGCTTTGCTGAGGCTCATCCGTGTGGCTAATAGAGTTGAATGGGCGGAAATGGTTCAAGCCCACAGGCCCGCAGGCTCAAGCCTCCTGCCAGGGGAGTCGGGGACGGGAGATGCAAGGGCGCCCTCTGGCGGGAGCTCGGGGGACTGCGGACACACCGGGCCTGCCGCACCGTCCACAGCCCACGCGTCCCCTGGGACGGCATCCAAACCAGGGGAAGAGCCATCCATCCTTCCCAGAGACGACGAGCTAAGTGGAAAGTCCCCCCAGAAGTCAGCATCCATCAACGGCCGCCCTGGCGAAACATCCCCGTAACAACAACAAGATGGTGGTGGTGGTGGCTGCAAACAGTCATGAGGGACGAGCTACAATGCTGGGCTCCGTGGGTCACTTACTCCCCGGGAGGAGGGACGGCCCTGTGCACGGTGAGCTGTTACCTCCGTGGCCTGGATGAGAAACGGGCAAACTGTGGTCTCTCTAGGCCCCAAGGGAGACTCGTCGGGCTCCGGCTCTGTCCCTGCTGTCCGCCCGCCCGGGGACCCTGCAGCGGAGGTTTGTGGGGGACCCTGCCGGAATCCTGTGTCTCCTCTGGTCTCCGCCATCCCCCCCCCATAAATTCCCCTCTCTCCT